ACAAGACGTTGCAGAGTACTTATATCTGAATATGACATTATATCAAACTTCTGCCTCCAAAGGCTCAGGGGTCATTGGGCAAAAGGGCCAGAAAGATTGTAAGAGCCAGAGGTGGTGGATGATCACAAGGAAACAGTTTTCCAGGCAGTGGTCAGTTACTCATACAAACTCACAGCAATGGTGATAGCTTGCACAAGTCCCATGCAAACTCAAGCCAGACAACATCCCAGCATAGATGTGGGGAAGTGGATATGAAATCTCAACGAAATCTAGGAAACTACTGACAACCAATGGTTGCTGGGAGGAGGAAAGTCAGTTTCCTTCAAGGTTATGACTCTTGGTAGGTTAACCAGGCTCCAGTGGACACAAATTAGAGGCTATAAGCACACACACACACACACACACACACACACACACATATTAGAGTATATTAAATTGGGTGGAAGGCAGTAAGCAGAAGTGTGGGTAGGTAGGGGATCTAAATAACATCAAATTATATGAAAATTACAAAAATTCAATAACAAAAATAAGATATTGATTGAGGAAGACAAGCTGACATCAACTTCTGGTTTCCACACACACCTGTACACATACAGACACATGCACACACACATGCACAAATAGCCTCAAAATTAACATTTATGAGCATCTCTGTGAGTAGGTCCCCATGCACCTGAACCTGAGGAACCAATATTCACATCTCAACTCTCTATTTCAGTTCTTTAACCTGCCATGGCCTGTTTTTAAATTTGACTTTGGAAACTGTCAATTTTCAAAGATGATTTTGAAAAAGTAGATTTTTTTCCAAATACAGAAGTTCTCAAATTAGTCTTTAATTTTTTTTATTATTTATAGTTTGTTTAAACATTAAAGATAGTAAGAAATTATCACAGAATTTAGAATTCATCACTGTGGCTTAAATCTACAATTATTCCTATGACTGTTGTGCCTAAGTTCTTAGACAACAAAGATCCTGTAAAATATTTACAAGCTGCATTTTAGAAGTAAGCTAATTTCTTTTCAGCCTAACTCAGCACTCTCCTCCTTTCCTGTTCACAGGGAAATAATGACCTGGCCTTTCATGGAGCATTTAAAACTAGCATCTAGACTACCAGCAAAGAAAAACAATATTTTTGACATGAGTCATCTTTCTTACTTTCACTGGTAATTAGCAACAGAAAACTGCAGGAAGTGGTGGGGGTGGGGCACAATAAAGGATTACAACTTAGCTCTTTTAAATTGTCTGTCACACAAGGAAATATCAGCCTAGAAAGGACAACAAGGACATGATAGTTACTAGCCCCATGGCTGAGTTCCCAAATCTGTATTAGAAATGCAACAGAAATTCTCATTTGCTTCAAGTTGGACTTGAGACTAAACTTGGGGCCTATCATAAATTAAATGTTTGGGGGCTCTCTAAGTCTGTATGGCGAAGCTCTTACCCCTGGTTGGGATGGTATTTAGAGGCAGGGCTTTTGTCTAGTAATTAGGTTTAGGTAGTCGCAAGGTGGGCCTCTGTGATGAGATCGAGACACCTTGACATGAAGAAGAAAGACCAGAGCTCTTTCTCTTCCGGCCATTTGAGGGGCCAAGAGAAGCCAGAAAGGCCTTCATAACAAAACTGAATCTGTGGCATTTGATCTTGGACTTCCTAGTTTCTATTGTCATATATGAATGCTCATTATTTAAGCCACTTGGCTTCTGGTCTTTTGTTATAGCTTCTTATACAGACTCATACAGAGTCTAAATTCAACTCGGAAAGTAAACAAAGTAACCGCCAGACAGAAAAGATCAAGCCATGCACATACAGAACCAGACTCAACCTGACCCACAATGCAAGACACTAGGTCCACTCAAAACCCACAGCAATTATGGCTGAATTCATGGGACACAATGTTCTTAGCTACAGGGGAAACCAGCTGCCTTGACCATTTTGTAGGCAAAACAGAAGAGTGAAAAGGACTTCAAAGCTCTGGAAGTAAAGACATCAAGTTTCTTCTACATAGTGAGTTCCAGGGCAGCTGGGGCTACAGGGAGACCCTGTCTCAAAAAGACCAAAAAAAAAGAAAAAGAAAAACGTAAAAAGTGGGAATAATGATCTGGATGGGGAGGGAGCTGGAGCTGGGTGGAGGTGTACCGGCAGAGGAGACAGGGGTGACTCAGCAGCAGGAGAGAGGTGGGAGGAATGAGAAAGGGAAAGGGCTGGCAACAGGACCTCGGATCAGGACAATGCTGGTTAAACAAGTGACTCAGCAGCAGGAGAGAGGTGGGAGGAATGAGAAAGGGAAAGGGCTGGCTGGCAACAGGACCTCGGATCAGGACAATGCTGGTTAAACAAAGGAAGAGGGAGCGATGGATAGGTGGTTATGAGATCAGTTGATGCGTCAGGTGTAGTCATAAATATTAACTCAGGCAATCTTAAATTATCAATTTCCACAGCAGAGAATTCCAGTATATTTTCCAAATATAAGTGAGTCGGAAAAAGAAATTATCCTCCAGGCATTTCTGACTCAGGGCTAGTAGCATATACCTTAAAAATTTTATGATGTCTACATACCTTCCCATTGTTATTGGGAAAGCGAGACATGAAAGAGTCCAAATAATTCAGATATGCTAAATAGCTCTGCTGTGGAAGTCTGGATCCCAGCACACAGCAGAGGCAGGAATACCTGGGAAGGCTAGGGGATGGGCACCAGAACGGGGCGCAGGGGTAACTGGGGCCATTCTTGGAGCATTTGCTAGTGGACAGGCTCAGTTTTTCACATGTGATCAGATATGCCTTTGTGAATGAGGGAGATTTGCACTATAAATCTAAACTGTAAGGTTTAGATTTCACACAGGAACTAGTATGACTAGGTCACAAAGCTAGAGCCTCATCTAATAACCACAATAACCAGCTACCATATGAGTATGCAAAGCAGCCTAACACAATGATGAAGCAAACACAAACACAAACCTGCCGATGGACTCTTGGTACATGGTAAAGTCATAATTCTGCATGCCTACAGACTATAAACCACTTTTAGAAATTTCTCCAAAGAGTAGAAATCACACAAGTATACAAAGAAGAATTGTCTATAGTATTAAACATCTGGGAACCACCTACGTGAACATCCATAAGCAAATGGGTAACTCATGGAAAGTAAATATAATTAAATCTATGGAGCCACTGATATTTTTACATAGCTGCAGAAAGGTATAATGAGCAAAATAGAAGCTTCTAGAACAGTATCCAGAAAACCAATGGCATGAGCCATATTTGACTTTATGTAGGAAAATGGCAGCCAATGTCTACACCATCAGTATGTGTAACTATAATTTAAGGTGATTTTCACTTTCTTTACTCTTGGAAGAGTTTCTTTTCAAAATTTTTTATTTATTTTTATTTCATATGTTTGAGTGTTTGCCTGCATGAAGTATACATGTGGTAAAATGTATGCAATCCCAGTGGAGGCCAGAAGAGGGCCTCGGGTCCCCTTGAACTGGAGTTACCAACAGTAGTTACCTGTCGTGTGGGTGATGGGAACCAAAGGATCCTCTGTAAGAGGAACCGCTGAACCATATCTCCAGCCTCCATAAGAGGTTACTTATCAGTACAATTTACAATTAGCATGAAGCCTTTTTACAGTTGAAAACACAATAACTCTATGCTTATTTGGGGGAAAAACATCTTTCCCAACATTTACAGCTATAGCTCTATAATATGAATAGAGAATTGTTGGCCCTGACCAAGGCTTGAAAAGTGAGTCCTAAGGTCCGCGGGCCTGTCGCACTCACTGCCCTTTTACAGGACAGATTCTGGGCACAGCTCTTCCTATGGCAAATGCCCGAGATAATCAGCGTAGAAAGAGAAATGTTTCATTTTAGCTCACAGCCTTGAAGGTTTCTGTCCATGGTGGACTGGCCCCATTGCTTCGGGCCTGTGGCTGCACTGTACATCATCAGGGTAGGGGGAGCACATGGTCACTGACCAGAAGATCTGTCACTACATCCCACATTTTAAACTCTCCACCCTTGGTCCTTTGAAGAACATTCCAGATTCAAACTGTAACAAGGCCTGTGGCTGCACTGTACATCATCAGGGTAGGGGGAGCACATGGTCACTGCACTCATGGCCAGGATGAGTCAGAGAGAAAGAGAAAAGGACTGGGGTCTCACAATCCCCTGGGCATAGCTTCAATGACCAGAAGATCTGTCACTACATCCCACATTTTAAACTCTCCACCCTTTGTCCTTTGAAGAACATTCCAGATTCAAACTGTAACAGGGGGAGTCTCTAAGTAAGAGCTTTCCATGGGGTTCAGCTTTACACACTCCAGGTACCACTCTCCACAGATGGATCATTAATTAAATTCAGACAGCTGACTATCAAAGCTCTTTTAAAAAACTGTGATGCTTCTTGGTTGTTTATAATTTTTTCAATCAGCAGCATTGAGGATTCATGTTGTTTGATGTAATAAGATCAAAGTTTATTTTATATTAGTATTTGACATTCAAAGACATTACCACATGTGGTCACAGTCACCTAACAACCTAATAGAATTAATCTTGGATGATTCATCTTAGTGTCCTTCTACCATGGCTACTTTTTCAGCAAAGCACTGAAGGGGACAACAGTCAGCATCTCCTTAGTTAAAGCTGCTTGCACAGTACAGACCATTTACTGCTTCTTTCTGTTCTAACTGGAGTAACACACCCAAACAAAAATCCATCATGTTTTCCTTTAGCTATGACACACAGTATTGCAAAAGTGATAACTGTGTGGATTTCATCAAGATCCATAGAAATGGCATAAAATAGCTTCTCTTGACCAGATATCAGCTCACAGAGGCAGTTGACAAATACCACACAGGTGACAGCTAAACCAGCCACAGGACCACCAACATCACTCACTGATCAGTAGTGGCAAGGTAGCAGCAGCTGCCTTCCTTTGGAATGTGCTCCTAATGATTTATTGTCTCCAGTAACATGAACCTCAAACTCTGGGAAGTTTCCTTTACCTTGGCCAGATGAGAGTTGATCCATTTTGTGAAAGTGCGTTTCTGTACAATCTCTTGCTCATCTAGAAGGAAAACAAATATTTTTAGATAATATGATAAATTATAAAGTTAAATCATGAGATGTTAGGTTATACAGTTCTAGAAATGATCATGAAATTATTTTTTAATATTTATTATTTTTATTGAGAGAAAGCTATTTATATACATGACTGCCTCCTGATGCTCTCACATTTTAGTGTAGGCAGAACCCATGACTTCCTTCTAACTAACAAGCTATGACAAAGTGGTGGGGCATCAACCCCTAGGTGTTACTTTAAGTTGGTGATTGGAGCGAGGGATTCTCCTACAGTCCTTGGAGACCCAACAGCCATCCTGCGGACTGTCTATGAAGTAGGGCAGTGGCAGGGAGCTGCAGGTCCCCTTTAGGATTGGAGCCAACAGTCAGTGAGACGTTGGACCTCCAGGCTTACAGATACAAGAGAGGGAATTGTGCTAAGAAGGCGAAGAAGTGTTGAAGTTGTCCTTAGAAGAGACTCTGGATGAGAATGCAGCCCAGCAGACACCCTGCAGCCTGGGGGACGCTGGGCCAATGCTGGTGAGCTGTTCACAGAATCATGATTCACAAAAATGTGGAGATGACAAAGACACGTGGTTGGCTGTCAGCTACTAGGGGTGTGGTAATTTGCTATGCAATGAAAGATCTAATATAGGAGAAGTCTAAGGTCCAGGGAGGAATTAGAGGTTTAGAGATGACGAGCAGCCAGAGTGGATATAGCTTAATCCTTTAGAAAGGAGTGAGCTCAGCTCCCTGTGCCAACATCCCTGGGTGTCAGCTGTTTGAAAAACACTAAGCTAGTGTTGAGGTGCAGATGAGCAGATACGATCTCAGTTCTTCTCCCTTTGAGGGTTGATGCTCAAAGTCACATTTCTAAATCTGACTTTTCTAGACTTCATCTCAGAATGTCTGACTGTGTGCTAGAATTTGAACCTCGTCAAATACAATGATCAGGAATGAATGAGGAAAATAGATAATATAACCTTTTAATTCGGAAAAACTGAACCGATCCATAAAACTTGCACAATATTATAGCCAATGCGTTTCAACATGCATTTTTTGTTTTAACCTTGAAGTTCATGACAAAACAATTACTACAATAGGCAATACTTTCTATGTATCATATACTGACATGTATATGTATATATGATTTATTTTAATTAATTATGTTATACATAACAATAAACATAAAAACTCATTCAATTCTTGGTGTGTGTATGATGTATGTAGTGTATATGTAGTTGTGTGTGGGTATGCACCCATGTATGTGCATGCTGAGGCCTGAAGAGGATGCCGGGTGTCTTTTTCTACCTCATTTTCAGGTGTCCTCACTCTCCATCTCGTTTTCTGAGACAAGGTCTCTCATTGAGCCTTAAGCTCACCATTTTGGCTTCCCTTGTTGGCCAGCAAACTCCAGGTATCCCCATGTCTCTGGTCCCCAGTTCTGGGGTTTTGGGAATACTCAGCAGGTTTTGACCTGGGTGCTGGGGATTAGAACTCAGGTCCTCTTCCTTGCACAATAAGTACTCTTATGTACTGAGTCACACTATGCCTGTTTACATACGAACATCTACTTATTTACATATACACTATAGGCTAGGATTCATGTGGTATACATACACAATGGAATACAAATAAAATCATGAAATCTGATGTAAAATGGCTATATCTGGAAAGTAAGACATGAAGTATACTACTAAGTGTTATAATATTAAGTATGACATTAAGTATATTGGGGTAACCCAAAGTCAGAAAGACAAAAACCACATATGCAGATCCTAATTTCCTTTAATGAAGCAGAGAGGCCCATTATTCAGCCAGTCATCCAGAGGTCACCTTTGGCTCTTTGCTCTTCCTTACTCCCAGGCTGAATCTGTAAGTTCTGTCCATTTTAATTTCCCATCTCACACCAAGATCATTCTTGCTCAAGCTGTCAGTCTGACTGAGTCTCCACTGTCTCGCCCATCACTACAAAGGAGACACTTGAGAAATACATGGATGAATAGGGGTGTAGCCTGTGCTTGCTCAACACACACGAGGCCCTGGCTTCCATCTGTAGAGTCCCATTGCCCTACTCTCCAAAGAAAGAAACTGACAGTTTTGCTAAGGAGGCTCCAAGAAGAAAGGTTCGTCTCCCACGCGGGATGAACTGATGAGATAATAGTAGGCAAATGTACAAGAGCTCAAAGCAGCATGCTAATTACACATGAATATAATGAGAAATATGCAAATTCTATATCATAATCATTTACTTTATGCATATTTTTATATATTTTTTATAATTCTAATGCTTCTATAAGAACATATTTCTGAGCTATGAAACAGTGTATACACATATATCTAAGGCATCATGAATTTTATCAGAATCATGAAAAATTAGAAAGACTCAAATAGTGAATCCCTAGGTACATCCATCTTTAAAACATTTTATCTATTATTTTTGTTTTGTGTGTATGAGTGCTTTGCCCGCATGTGTGTAAGTGTGCCTGTGTCATGCAGTGCCTCTGCCAGAAGAGCTACATCAAATCCCCAGGAACTGGAGTTGTGGATGGGTGCTGGGAACCAAACCTGGGTCCTCTGCAAGATCGGCTAGTGTTTTTAACACCTCTCTCCAACCCTGTGTATCTATCTTTAATCAATATTATATTTAATATAGAAAGCACCGAGAAGAAAACATATTCTTTAAATAAATAGATATATTTTAGTTTGAAATTGTCTTGTCTGGTAAAAAGATTAAAAATACCAAATATTGGTGCATTCACAAGAGTTTTTGCATTACATTTGATCAGCATCTTTGGCATTTGAGTATTTTTATTACTCCTTGCAAATATTTGTTTTTTTTCAAGAAGTTAGACACCCAGAAGGCCCAGGCTGTGGTGGATTGTAAACAAGATGGGTTATTATTAATCTTTTCTGAAAAAAAGAAGAGCAAAGAAACAGCTTCAGAAACAGTTAACCTAAGTTGTTAACAACAAATTAAGGCTCTGTCTATGGACATATTGCTAAGAACTCAGAAAAAGTTTGAATTTTTTGATTCCTTATAAATTATACCACACAGCTTCTTTCTTTCTGTGCCTGGCTTATTTTATTTGATGTAGTCCTTCAAGATCATGCTTATAGCAAATAGCAGAATTTCTTTCTTTTTCTATGATGAAATATTATTCCATGGTAGATTTCCTTCATTCATTCATAGGTATATTATTTCTTATTTGGTAATGATTTCACAGTGTACACATATTTTAAATCATCCTGTATATACACATATATGTTTATATAAACACATATATATACATATACACATTATATATTTTAATATACTATATATTATATTTAATAAAACTGGAAAATAAAAGAGAGAACTCAAAAAGATTTCATGTACTGTCTACTTGACTGTTTTTTACCTTGCCAGACAAACCAGCTTCTAAGAGTCTTCAAGGCATTGCCCCAAACAGCATCATCTATGTCTAAAGCTATTTCAAACTTCATGTTGCAGGACAGTCACAGAATGAACTCCAAATAGTGTTAGGAAGCTACAGAACCAGAATGGTTCAAAATGAATAGAAGACCTTGAAACCACAATGTGGTATGGATGGGACGAAGGCTAAGAAATGATCAACTGCAGCCAAGAGCTACTTTTAATCATGCACACAGGAATATTGTACCTGTGGGCTATAGGACCTGGCCACGTGCCAGGTAGATTTCAGAATGACAATGAATTAGCATTGCTACTATTACCCTACTCCATTCATTTCATAATGGAAAGGCCCACTGCGATGGCCTGCCTCTTTCTCACTATCTCAGGCTAGATAGATGAGGGTTGGGGGGTCAGATAACCTCTCTTTAGCTTCCAGGTCCATGGATGGGGAGGAGTTATGTCTGGAGTACGGTCTGTACATGAACCAGATGTAGATGACATAATCCAGTACTTAGAGATTGATGCCGAGCTTGGCCCTGGATGAGACTTTAGGCACCTTGAAAAGGAGACTTACTTACTTTGCATGTAGGAATAATACAAATAATGGTGACCAGAGAGCAGATTTTAAATTATAACACAAAATATTATAGCCCCCATCCTCCACCTCTGCAAGGTGACTTTGTTCTTCCTCCCAATGAAGAGTAGAATTGATTTCTTCTTCTAACTCTGATCTCATATTGTGCTTGATGTGATAAATAATGCAGCAGGAATGACTTTACGTCTTCTGATTCCAGGGTTTAAGACTTCGGGCAGTTTCTGCCTTACTGCCCTGGACGACTGTCTGAAAATTACTGTATCAGAAAAGCAATCTATTACAAAGCATCAGTAATCCATGTGAAGAAGAGCTAAGACTTCGTATCTGATAGCCAGAGCTGCCTGCCAGATGAGTCATCTTGGCTAACCCTTCAGGTGAACTTGGCCTCAGGGGAACCTGGGAGGACAGCAGCTGAAGCCTCTGATGCTTTTTGCTTGTACCCAGACTGACCTGACTGCATATTCCTCATGGGAAGAAATCTTTCTCTGCAGGGTTATATCCCAAGGAGCAAACTCATTTCCCACTATAGGTGACATAATTAAGCAGTCATTCCACACTCAAACACATAGATGAGAAATCACAAATGGTGGCTATTTTAAGGCACAGAGTTTTAGAAGAATTTAATTGTATTTATTTATTTATTTTATTTTATGTGTATGAGTGTATTGTCTGCATGTAGGTAAGTGCACTCATGTCATGCAATGCCCAGGGAGGTCAGAAGAGGTTGTCGGATCCCCTATAACTGGAGCTACAGATGGTTGTTAGGTGCCATGTGGGTGCTGGGAATCGAACCCAGGTCCTCTGCAAGGGCAGCCAGTGCTCTTAACCGTTGAGCCATCTCTCCAATCCCAAGAAGAATTTCTTATAGAACAAAGGCTAACTGAACTATTTTACTTATGTGACGGATATCCCTTCACATACATGTGCTGTGTGTATGTTCGTTTTCTGCCATCACTCCATTCTGTGGTGGAAAGACCCTAGGTTCACTTGCTTGGAT